GGGGGCCCGGCCCCCAACTGGGTGCCCTGCCCGGCCAGGCCGCCCGGGGCCTCCCCGGGCCCCTGCCGGTCACCCGAGCGGCTCGGATCCCCACTCATGAAACGGTTTCACCCAGTTGACCTTGTACTGCAGTCACAGAGATTCGATCCCTAGACCTACCCTGTACCTGTACATAGACCCCGTGACCTGATTAGGATTCGATCCCCAAACCTGTCCTACGACTTAGGTTAGTCTGTAGTTTGGTCAGTAGGACTTGATCCCTAGGTCTGTAGATTAGCAGCTAGGTATGTTACCAATAGGCCTAGAAAGCCTGTTCTAGAAGTCTCTACTGAGTCTGTCGAAAGTCTGTAGAGTCTGTAGGTTCCAGAAGTCCGTAGGGTTCTGTAGGGGGGGTCCAGCCAGCATCATTGGTGTCTTGTGCATGGAGGTCTGCAGGTGCCTGGAGACGAAGTGGGCAGTGAAGAAGACAGCGGCCATAGCTGGCCAGTGGGGTAGATGTCGGCGGCCATAGCCAGCAGGAGGAAGACGACGACGGCCATAGCCGCCCAGCTGTTGGTGAAGACAAGTGTTCAGAGTGTGTGAGGCTGTGCTGAGTGGGGACATTCAGGGTGATCCTCGTACGTGCACGCATGAGACAGTGAGGGAGAGAGTGAGGCTGGTGGTAGAGACCGTGTTTGGCGGCCATAGCCGCAAGTTGTGCAGCTGTTAAGATTGAGTTTAAGACAAGTTCATTGTTGTTTTTTTGAGTTGAAATAGTTCAGTCTTGCCATCGGTTCTCAAGTGTGCATGTTGTGAGCAAGTCCAGAGTTGAGTCTGATTGCACTCAGAAAATAACAATAAAAAATAATAATTATTATTTTTAATTTTTTATTGATTTTTTTTTTGGCCCGGCCGGGCGAGTGGTCCCGGGCCACTCTGGTAGCATAGAAGAAAACAAAAAAAACAGGAAAAGAAAAGAAAAAAAGGAGAAAAATTAGAGAATCTGTTCGATCAAATTTTCTCATGGATATTGGTGCTATTTTGTGTGTCCGTTTATCCGATCTGTCCGTTGATGTTATGCTGACCGTCCATTGATGCTGTGCTGACCGTCTGTTGATGCTGTGCTGACTGTCTGTTGATGCTATGCTGAGTGTCTGGTGGATGCTATCTTGTATGCTTGTTGATGGGATCCTGATAGCAAGATGCTATCTTGTCCGCTTGTTGATGCTATGCTGATGCTATCGTTTGTGTTCATTGATGGATGCTATGCGGACCGTCCCTCGATGCTATGCTGACTGTCTCTTGATGCTATGTTGTCTGTGTGTTGATGCTATCTTGTCTGCTTGTTGATGCGATCTTGGCCCTCGGTTGATGCAGGGTGAATATCGTTGCTGTCTTGTCTGTCCTTTCGATGCAAGGCGTATTCTTATGCTATCTTGTCCGCTTGTTGATGCGATCCTGATGCTATCGTTTGTGTCCATTGATGGATGCTATGCGGACCGTCCCTCGATGCTATGCTGACTGTCTGTTGATGCTATGCTGTCTGTGTGTTGATGCTATCTTGTCTGCTTGTTGATGCGATCTTGGCCCTCTGTTGATGCAGGGTGAATAGCATTGCTATCTTGTCTGTCCTTTTGATGCAAGGCGTATTCTTGTGCTATCTTGTCCGTCGCTTGATGCTATCTTGTGCTTCTGTTGATGCTTTCTTGTCTGTCCGTCGATGCAGGGTGCATATCGATGGTATCGTGTCCGTCTGTTCATGTTGTCTTGTCCGTCTGTTGAACTCTGTTCATGTTATCTTTCTCGCCTGTCTGTTGACGCTATCTTGTCCGTTTGTTCATGCTGTGTTGTCAGTCCGCTGATGCATGGCGATGTTGATGCTATCTTGTCCGTATGCTGGGTATACTGATGCTTTCTTGTCGTCCGTCCGTTGGGGCTATTGTGTCTGCAGTCAGAGACGATAAGACCGACGGTTGCTTCAAGAACCCGTGCGGGGTTTACGGTCAACGTTATCGATACACCGGGACTTGTGGAAGCCGGTTGCGTGAATGACCAAGCGGTGGATGCCATCCGGAGATTCATCCTTGATAAACCTGTGGATGTGGTGCTTTACGTCGACCGTCTGGATGGTTATCGTGTAGATTCGTTAGACCGACAGGTACGATCGATCCTTGACACAACAGACTTCAGAGAGCAATTGCAATCGCTATTCTTATTCGAGTCCCTGCCCTTCCCAATCGACTGACAACGCTTTCTCAGCATCCATGCGTTTGTCGATGTTTTCCAGATCCGTGCATTGTCGCTGTTTTCAGACAAAAAAGTTACGTCAAAGGGTTGTCAGTAGAAGGGCTCGTTCCGGCAAGTGCAAGCTACTCCCTCCAGAATTACTTGGGACCGGTTATAACTTGTTAGTCAATTATGATATCTCAAGGCTGTCGCCCAGCAGGGGGGAATTATTGAAATACCCCTAAACGTTGGTGTATTTCATCAGATACCCCTAAGACACAGGGGTATGCCGATATGTCCCGAACTTCTGCATCTGCCCCTGTCCCGGTCATGGCCAAATTAGCCATATGCCCTAGCCCTGGGCGAGAGGGGCGTGCGCATTTCTTTTGCCAACTGAAGGGTCCAACAGCCAGAAATACTGGGGCATATGGACTAGTTGGCCAGGTCCCGGTAGGGGTATATGCAAAAGAAGGCAGGCAGGTCCAATTGGTGAGTGGGGTATTTCACAAAGCTTCCAACCTGTCATAGGGGCATTTCGCCATATACCCATGCCGTTTAGGGGTATCTAAGGAAACACCCCAACTTTCAGGGGCATTTCAACAATTTTCCCTTTTTTTTAATATCATGTGGGCCAATGGACCATGGATCAGATATTAAACTCACCAGCACAGATACTACACGGCCTAGTGCCAGCCCCACCCAGGCACGGCCATTATCTGGCCCGGGCAAGATCGAGGGTGTTTGTTTTAGAACACGAGGGACGTGCAGCATTCGGGGGGGGAATAGGCCAAGGCATCAGCACGCCGTCGGATCCTTTGTAAATCTGAACTATTTTATTGTGGTCGCCGCTAGATTCAAACTCACATCTGCAATTCAACAGTTTCATGTGTGCATCAACTGAGCAGCCTGCCAATGTGCAAAATGAGAACGAATCTTCCGCAAGAACATAGGAAGATACACTGCGACGGACAGATGCATTGAAAAGAAATCCCGGTGTGAGTATGGACTCAGGAGCTGTCAGATGCAAATGACGCCGCAAGCGCGCGCGCGCCCGCGTGTGTGTGTGTGTGTGTGTGTGTGTGTGTGTGTGTGTGAGAGAGAGAGAGAGAGAGAGAGAGAGAGAGAGAGAGAGAGA